TGGTGGTGGTGATGATGGTGATGGTGATGTTGGTGGGTGATGGTGATGGTGGTGATGGTGATGGTGGTGATGATGGTGATGATGGTGGTGATGGTGACGGTGATGATGGTGATGACCAGAACACTCATCTCAACTGCCCTTTGCATATTTTTGCTATACCCCAGTTCTCCCTAAGAGGAGTCTGGAGGTTGGACCAGCCAGTAGGGGCCATCACAACAGGTTTAGAGCTCACAAGTAGCAGCTTTCCTTTGGATATAATACTTAATGTCAAAAGGTCAGAGGGCAGTGTAAAGAATGGAGGAATTTGGTGGAGAGCTGGCCGATTCCATCCAGGCCATCTAGCTTTCACCTCTCTGTGCGGGTTTCCTGTGTCCCCATTGCTTTAAGAATCATTTTGTAAACAGGATTGGCTTTGTCTCCTGAAGGGCTATGCACAGACTTAATGTTAATACAGAGTTTTTAATATGGAAGTTTGAGGCATGTTTATATTTATGGTAATAAAAGAAGCACAAGAGTAGAGGCTTGTGAGGGTCAAAGAGAGAAAAACCTTTCTGATGGAGGCATAATACTCCATAGTGTATATGGACCACATCTTCCTTATCCATTCGTCCGTTGAAGGGCATCTTGGTTCTTTCCACAGTTTGGCAACCGTGGCCATTGCTGCTATAAACACTGGGGTACAGATGGCCCTTCTTTTCATTACATCTGTATCTTTGGGGTAAATACCCAGTAGTGCAACTGCAGGGTCATAGGGAAGCTCTATTTTTAATTTCTTGAGGAATCTCCACACTGTCACCAACTTTTGTATCAACATGGACGGGACTGGAAGAGATTATGCTGAGTGAAATAAGTCAAGCAGAGAGAGTCAATTATCATATGGTTTCACTTATTTGTGGAGCATAACAAATAGCATGGAGGACAAGGGGAGATGGAGAGGAGAAGGGAGTTGAGGGAAATTGGAAGGGGAGGTGAACCATGGGAGACTATGGACTCTGAAAAACAATCTGAGGGTTTTGAAGGGGCGGGGGGTGGGAGGTTGGGGGAACCAGGTGGTGGGTATTAGAAAGGGCACGGATTGCATGGAGCACTGGGTGTGGTGCAAAAACAATGAATACTGTTACACTGAAAAGAAATAAAAAATTAAAAAAAAAAAAAAGAGAGAGAGAAAAACCCAGGCAAGGAATGGCTAAATCTTTTTTTTGGAGCAGAGAGACATATACTCAAAGTTTATTAATTTCTCTTTCACAAGCATAACTACAGATCGGTCTAGACTTTATGGTCTAAAAAGACTTTGGATGTCTAGTGAGGTGTTTGGATCCCATACAGGAAGAGGGACCTGAGCTTGAAGATGGGGCAAGATTCCTGCTGGCAGGAATTCCCCGGGGCTGGGCTGTCACACCAACAGTGGGGGTGTTAGAACTCCCCTCTGGCTGCCGGGGAGAGAAGGCATGCCACGCTTGGTGATGCTACTGTGGGCGGGACCGACCCACCTGTGACGCTGAGGGTCACCGTCTTGCTAAGCTGGGCCCCCAGGCCATTGTCGGCCTCACAGGAGTAGTTTCCAGAATGTTCTGCGGTCAGAGAGAGGTTGAAGGACACTCCTCCTCCAGAGGGGGCCGAGTTGCTCCCCAGGGTGACATCCTCGTGGTAAAACCGGTACAGGATCGGGGGAGAGCCGCTCTGGGCCTCACAGTGAAGCTCTACCACGTCCCCCACCACGGCCTGGACCCTGGGCGCCCTGAAGGTGAGTATGGGGTGGGACACTGGGACTGAGGGAGGAAAAATAGTTAACCATCAGTTTCTACTGTTTAAGTATGTTCCTCCATAGGAGAGAGCTTTCAAACTGGAAACTGTTTTCTGTAGCTTTCAGGGACCTTGTGACACTACTCAGAACCCAGCTGTAATTTGTGCGGATCTGAAGAAATGACGAGGTTGGTGTGGTGGTATGTGGGGCACCGGGGTTGGGTAAGCAGCTGCAAGTGTGTTTGGGGAATCTGAAAACAAAGATTCAGCTGACTTCTGGGAAATCAAAAGATAATTGGGGAAAAGGAGAAATCGGTGTCATCAAAAGTAGGAACAGGAGAGACCTGTTATTCACGCAGCCAGGGATGGCACTGAGCATCTAGGAGGGAGTAGGGTGTCAGTGAGCCGGGGCTCTGCTGGGGTCTGAGGAAGGGGTGATTCAAAGGGTTGAAGGAGCAAGTAGGACAGGAGGCTGTGCTCGGGTTATTGGAGCCACGGTGGACATGGCAGTGTGGCTGATGTGGAGCAGATGACAAGCCACGGTGTTGAGTGGTTCACCCATGTGGACGTTAGAGTCATGGACTGATGGCCGAATGCAGGGTAGAGAGGAAGACCATGGGTGAGGTGCCAAGTCGGAACTAAATGGGGCATGGCAGGGAGATCAGCCCATGACAGGGCCAGGTGGAGACTGTGCTACAGCTGAACGCTCAGGGACAGGTAAGAAGTCAGAAGAGGACGTCAGAAGTCTTCTAGCCGGACCTCCTGGTGGGAGCCTGAGCCCAGAGAAATTAAAGGGCCAATGAGAGAGTGAGTTGGCCTTTTTATGGATTATCAGACAGAGGGAACCCCACTTAAATCTCCTGTGAGGTGAGACACACTGTACTTGTAATTTCCTTTCTTAGTGATCACTGTTGACTGGGATGCAGTTGGTGCCCCGAGAGCCTTTGCTTCTACTTAGGGAAGTTTGAGTCACAGTGGCTACAGCGTTGCTTCTAGGAAGTGCACAGCAAGAAAATGGAAGGTGCAGGTTCCCGAAAATGCAGACTCCAGAGCTCCCGGATGGAGGCTGTTTGGGCAGTAGGCCTGCTGTGATGTCCCAGGGCAAAGGGCCCCGTGGGACCTCCAATCTTGGCTACTGGGGAAGGTGAGGGCATGGTGGTCCCAGTCATGCTGCAGTTGGGGTGATCAACTCACCTGTGACACTGAGTGAGGTCTCCTCACTGCGCTGGGCCCCCAGGCCGTTGTCGGCCTCACAGGCATAGTTTCCAGAATGTTCTGCTGTCAGAGAGAGGTTGAAGGACACTCCTCCTCCAGACGGGGCCGAGCTGCTCCCCAGGATGACGTCCTCGAGGTAAAACTTGTACAGGATCGGGGGAGAGCCCCTCTGGGCCTCACAGCGAAACTCCACCGTGTCGCCCACCACGGCTCGGGTCCTGGGCGCCCTGAGGGTGAGGACAGGGCGGGACGCTGGGACTGAGGGAGGAAAAATAAGTTAGTTGACATCAGGATCTTTTCACATTTCCTTTATTTTCATTTTTCAGAGATTACCCCGTAGAGCATTTGTGACACGTTCTAGATCTTTCCTATGTGTAAGAATACCGGTTCACACCAACAGATGAGCAAACACATGAAACATACACGCACACAGGTCCTGGTCTCCAGCCGGGTTTTCCCCTCAGCAGCATGTCACGAGCATCCTTCCACGTCACTCTAACGGGTATATCTCATCCACCTTTAGAGACCAACTTCACCTAGGTGTAATTTGTACACAACAAAATGCAGCCCTTTCAAATTTACAGTTTGATAATTTGGGGTGAATACTGCTTGATTAGTTTAACAAGCACAAATCTTTCCAGTGTGTGGATTCACCGTAGTGCACTGAGGGATGCCCCCCGACCGGGAATGTCCTTGTTCTCCTCCTGCAGATGATGCCGCGGGCCACAGTCCTGCATCTCCATCCTGGCCCATGTGTGCCCACGCTGCTTAGGATAAATTCCTAGGAGTGGAATTTCTGGGATGAGGAATATGAACTTTTCAAATAAGCATATATTATGCTACATTATTCTTCAAAAGCTTTGGACCAGTTTGCATTTGCACTAAGGGAATGTAAGAATTCCTATTCCCACTCTCTCACTGGTGAGAATCATAGAAGTGCAAAGGCTTATTTATTGTTCCTTCTCTGCTCCTAAGCCTCAACTCCACAGTTATTCCCTCTGAACAGCTCACTCATTGCCTCCTATGGGACCCTGTGGTCTACGACTGGGTGTTTCCAGGGCTGCTGGTGAACTACAATCCATTGATGAGAAGTTACCGCCTGTAAAGGATTCAGACATTATTGACAAAGTGAAAGATTTGAAAACTCGTTAATTTTTCAAAATGTATCCAGTCAAGTCTCTTCTTTGGTTCTTTGCTACGAAATAAGGATCATAATCACGAGAGACGTGTTGTTCTTTTATTTCTTCTGCTCCCTTAGACCAACTGCCTTTTCTTTGTTACATGTATTTTTTACCTTTTTTGGCACTTTCTGTAACCATAATTCTCACAGGTGATTAGCCTTTGTTTTCATTTCTGAATCCGTGGTTGTCAGCCCTATTTGTACAATATTCTCACCTAAGGATGTGTTAAGAAATATCGATTCTGAGGTCACATCTGAGAGATTCTAAGTTTAATTGGTCCAGAGAGAGGCTTAGCAATGAGCCTGTTTCAGAGTTCCTAACTGATTCTCCCTGCGGCCAGTGCTGAGCTCCAGCTGCGGAAAGATATTCAGTGCATGCATTTTGTATCACAGTGAAGTAATTTTGAGTCCTTTGTATCAATTCCTAATTTGGTTGGCCGGTTTCTGTCATCAAGTGATTTAAAAAAATATTTTATTTATTTATTTGACAGAAGAGATCACAAGTAGGCAGAGAGGCAGGCAGAGGAGGGGAGGAAAAGCAGGCTCCCTGCTGAGCAGAGAGCCCGATGCGGGGCTCGGTCCCTGGACGCTGAGATCATGACCTGAGCCCAGGTGCCTCTCATCAAGTAATTTTTTAAAAGGGTTTAATAGACACTAAGTTCCCTGGGTCCCTGCATGTCTGAGCATGACTTGCGGATTTGGTTTAAAATTCTCCATTCTCTTTCCTCTCTCCAAAGTCCCAGGACCCTGGGATCATGACCTGAGCCTAAGGCAGACACGCAATGACTGAGCCACCGAGGTGCCCCAGAACACTAAAATTTCTTAAATCATCTCCTTACATCTTTACATCATCTCTTCACACTTTATATTGGGGGAAATGCCTTCTTTTGGTCATTCTTGATTTCCATGATCGAAAACAAGGGTTATCAAGGAGACAGAGAGCCTTCACATCCATAGGCTCAAAGATAAGGCCATCCGTACCCAGACTCACATGTTCCTAAGATCAGCACATCACCCATTTGCACACTCAGCAGCCGCCATCTCCAGCTGCACTCACACGCTGACTAACACCCACTCCCACAGCCCTCAGGGTGCCTCTCCAAGCTCCCCCATGAACGGCGATGAAGCCCGTCATGGTGGTGCTTTCTCTTGCTGGGACAGGTAAGTGAGCCCAGCTTTGCAGCCCACATGGTTTTCCCCGGCTGTCTTCTCTGGGGCTTTGACTGGTGCCTCTCATACTCTCCCTCACTTCCTTTCTTCCAGAGCATCATGAATTCCTGGCCCTTGGGTTCCTGTTCCAACTCAAATCACAGAACTCTGGGGCTGCCATGGACACTAATTATTGTCTTATCTAACTACCAATATAAGGTGAAAACAGTGGGACGAAGAAAGTTTAAATGTTTCGCCCAAATTACGAACCAGTGATGTTCATAGCCAGAGCTCGCATTCAGGTTTTCTGACTCATACTTAGATCTGATGACCCAAATGTTTTTCAGGCACCCTGGCTCTTTCTAGGAAATCTCAGAATCTGTGCTATGCCTCTAGTTCCCTAAAACAAGCATTTTCTGAAGCAGACTTCCTTATGTGTCATGTCGTCTCTGTACTTTGTTAGGCTAATGGTGGGAAGTACCCTGGCCATGGCCTTGGTGGGTGGTTAGACCAGCGAAAGCCACTCACTGTTTCGGCAATGAGCCACCCAACATTGGCAGCCCAGGCAGAGAGTGGAATCCAGAGCGAGGGGTCCCACCCAGAAGCTGATCTGTCGATGCTGGGTGCTGCAGAAGCTGTGAGTCAGGAGAAGTCATGAGAGAGAGGGGATGGAGTGGAGGATACCCAGGAGCGACAGGGATGATGGATGGGGATACGAGGAAAACAGCTGGTGGCCTGTGAGTTCCGTGATGGGAGCTTCTAGCTTGTCACGGGTTAACATAACCTGCTTTTGAGAAGTAAGCCCTATTCTGAGATATCTCTCATCTCTTCCATGGGTCTGCCCGTGTTGTCTTTCTTGTTTTACTCACTCCTTGGATGTCCAGACAACAAGCCTTCCCCCTCTGGGGACGCCCTGTCTCTGTTTCCTTGTGAGGGGGAAGGAGCCACTCAAGGTCTCTCGGTCATACGTCAGCCTCTCGGAAGAGCCGACACACCAGTGGACGACCAGACTCTCACTCTCTCGTAAGTAAAGATCACAGTGTAAACAGAAGCGACTTCACTCCGAACATGACACCGTTTTGGAGGCTACGTGAGTCACCATGAGCTGTACAGCCCTGATTTGTATACTTTTCTGAATGTGTGTCATACTTCAACACCAACTTTAAAGATGTAATACAGTAAAATGAAACTTATTTTAAAGGGTTAGGACAAAGCATCACGGAAACTCCAGAAAGCCCTTCCCCCTTCCCTCGTCCACCCTGCTGTGACCTCTTGAACCCCTGGAGAAGCTGAGGGTTTGCCTGCGACTTGTCCCCGGCTGTGCTTGTGGCTACGTGAGTGCATGTGTTAGTGCGGAAAGCACGAGATGCTTCTGTGCGTGGAGTTGGGGACTGAACCTACAGGGCAGGAGAAAAATAATTTGAGGGAACGCATTCATCTGGCAAAAGCTGGGGAGTACGTCGAGCTACCGGGGGTCTGGCTGAGCCAGGGCTGGGTGAGGGCTGAGGCCCAGGCAGCTGGTTCTACAGCAAGGGAGCCACCAGGGCCACCAGGTGGGGGGGTGGAGGGGGGCAGGGACTGGAAGGTACATGCAGACTTCGGAAGGGGCAGTGTGAGAGGCGAGAACCGAGTCACCTCCCCTGACTTCAGCCACAAAGTGCTCAGCGCAGATGCGGGAGAACACAAACGAGAACAGTCCCTGGTGCGCCGGCTGCCTCGCCACTTACCGCGCGGGGCCTCAGTTTCCTCTCCTGTAAGACAGGGACAGAAGAGTCGAAGATAAGTGACCGGCAGCGTCCACGGCTTACCTGTGACAGACAGGCCCTTGGGGTCACTGCGCCGGGGGCCAAAGCCATTGTCCGCCGTGCAGAAGTAGGTCCCGGAGTGCTCCGCAGTCAGAGTAACACTGAAGGATGCCCCTCCTGCAGAGGTGGCCGAGCTGCTCCCCAGGGGCACATCTCCGCGATAAAACTGGTACAGGATTTGGGGCGACCCTCTCTGGGCTCGACAGGAAAGCATCAGCCAGTCTCCCTCAACAGCTCGGGGTCCCGGAGGGCTGAGGGTGAGGACAGGACGAGACACGGGGACTGAGGAGAGAAACATCAGTCAGCAGGTGCTCCTGTGCATGTCCGTCCTGGGCCAGTCTCAGCCCTGCCCTCCACACTGGCCTTTCCCTTTCCCGTCACCCACAGCCCCTTCTCCACAACCACCCCCCTTGTTAGGTGACCTCAGTCCCATTTTCCAGTGTAAATGAAGCTCTTGGGGAGGAAGTTTCTTATTTTGCTGCTGCCGGGCCCCACCCTTACCTGTGACCCTGGTAGACCTGCCTCTCCCCTGCCCAAGGAGGGTCCTCCTCCCCCATTCCTCCCCCCACCCCGGAGCCCAGCTGCCTCTGTCTGTCCCAGATGCAGATGCTCTGGCTGTACTGGCTTCTTCCAAGTTCCATTTAGATGTGTTTCGTCCTCTGCACGCGGGAGAATCCACAAACACTAACTACCAGGTCCGAGTTCGCGCTTCCCGCCAGTGCCTTTCTCCCTGGTTCTGAGGACGGGTCTCGGAAGGAAGGGGCTACACTTACTGTCTCCACTTCTCTTCCTCTCACTTCTTTTTCTGCGTGCATTGAGACCTGCTTTTTATCCCCACCAATCTATAAAGCGGGTTTACTGTGCCGGTGATGATCATGATAATATAGGGTTTCCCTGCACGTGCCCAGTGTATGTGCCTTTGTCTTACGTGATTGCAAACAGAGGCACGCGGACCTTTGCTGAATTGCCGAAGAGTCCTGTGGGGCAGGCATGCTTACGGACCCGTTGTACAGAAGAGGCAGCTGAGGCCTGTCGCTTACGGACCCGTTGTACAGAAGAGGCAGCTGAGGCCTGTCGCTGTAGGTGGTGAGGCAGCCGGCGCGCTCAGTACTCCCTCTCGTTCACATTCTGCTTCTGCATTCGGTGCTTTGTGGCTGGACTCAGGGGAAGTGACTCAGTTCTCGCCTCTCACCAGCTCTCAGCGCTGCTTTGCCTGAACTGGCCCCTGTCTTCTGCTCAAGCAATCTCTTCCCTTGGTTTCCATGGGACACGCGGACACGGCACCTTCTCTGCCAGCCACGGTCCTCAGGGCTTTCCCCCTCCACGGGGCTGGCCTGGGGCCCGGACTGGCCTCTCTTCTGGGGCCTCTGCTCTGCCCCTGGCTGCTCCCCAGACGGTCTTTTCTGCCATCCATGCTCACCCGTAGTGACCCTGCACTGACCCTCCCAGCGTGAAACTGTTCGCAGACCCCAGAGGTCCCTTCAGGATGAAGCTCTAGTGTCCCCAGGTCCTGGCCCTGGACCACTCCCTTCCTTCCTGCAGGCCTTCAGCAACTGCCCCTGCCTGGGCCACAGCCTCTTGCTGTCCTTCCCCACTTCCCATCACACGCTATCCAGCTGTCAACTCGTGCGCAGACTCCCCTAGAATCCTCTCAGGGCACAGGAGAGATTGGGGTGCCTTTGTGCACCTACAGCCCAGGTACTCATAGCCCTTGGACTGGTGCTTGCCCTATTGCGGTCCACACCTTCTGCGGGACCCCAGAACTGTGTGCCCAGGCCATGCGGGCTAGCCTGAGGCGTCCGTAGGTGGAGCACAATCCGGCCCCAGGGCCCTCCTGCCTTAGGTGAGCAGAGGCGCCATCACGCAGAGCCTTCTGCCCCAGAGGGCGCTCACGGTGATGCCACTGGCCATGCCCTCTGGTGTCCAGACGTCAGGACCACGTCTCCCCGGTCTTTCCTCTGAGGCCTCCCACAGGACTCCCGGGGCCTATTTCCTCATAATGCTTTGCGCATCAGCTGCGGGAGGGGCTGGATTCAGTCTTGTCTCCGGCCTGGCTGTGCTTTTTCTACAGACGAGGAAAGGGAGTCTGCTCTGGTCCTGAGCCAGGACTGGGCTCCGCACTGGTCCGGGCCCGCACCCTCCAGTCCCCGCCCCCCAACACTGCGCCTGGACTCTGTTCTCCATGGACAGCACAATGCTCAAGGCTCCACGGAACCACTTTGGCTCCGTAACTTGGACACCCACTTTTGTGGCCTTGGGGCCTGACGCCGGTGGGCAGGCTGAGCCATCTCTGCTCCCCAGGCCCTTGTGTGGCTTCCCGCCTGACTGCCGGAGCCCATCTGGCCCCACACCCTGTCAGTCCTCACATGCCTGAGCAGGAGGGGCGTCTGTGGGGAACCTCGTGTCCTGCTGCCGGCCGTGTGTCTTTCGTGGCTCTGTACCCCATTGTGATCAATATGTGATATTAGGTGGACAAGAAACACCTGTGAGCCCTTGGGGACTGATTTGTAGTTTCTGAGAACACTGGGCAGCGGGAGAGTCACAGGACAAGTGGTGAGAAAGAGGAAAACTTCTGGCTCCTCAAGGGTCTGGGTGGAAAGGAGGTCGCTACCCTGCACCAGCGGGGATGCGCAAAGAGGGGGCAGCCGACCCCGGAGCCAGGACATCAGGCAGCGGAGGAAGAGGCAGAGGCCCTGGAAGGTGGGGACATGCTTCTGACCGGGCTGGGGGACTGACCATCCAGGGCTTACCGGTGACAGAGAGGGACACCGGCTGGCTGCGCCGGATACCCAGGCCGTTGTCTGCGGTGCAGAAGTAGGTCCCGGAGTGCTCTGCCTTCAGATAGAGTTGGAAGGTCGCCGTTTTCCTAAAAGTGACCTTCTTCTTCCAGAGAACCACTTCTTCATGAAGGAACTGGTACTGGATCGGGTAAGAGCCTCTCTTGGCTTCACAAGAAAGTGTCAGCCAGTCTCCTTCGACAGCTTGGGTGCTGGAAGGGCTGAGGGTGAGGACAGGAGGAGACACGGGGACTGAGGAGAGAAACATCAGTCAGCAGGTGCTCCTGTGCGGGTCCATCACTGGTCAGTCCATGCTCGCCTTTCCCCTTCCCGTCACCTGCGGCCCCTTCTCCCCATGTACCCCCCGCCCCTTGTTGCGCGATCTCAGTCCCATCTTCCAGTGTAAATGATGGTCTTGGGGAAGAAGTTTCTTCCAGGCCCTTACCTGTTCCTTCCTCCCGCCAGTGACCCTGGACCCCTCCCCTGGCCAAGTCAAGGGGTCTTCCTTCCTGTCCCTGTTTTCCACTTCTCCGCTCATTGGGGCTGGACTCAAGGATCTGCCCTTCACCCTTCTTTCTTCCAGAGTCACACACACTTCTAGACCCTGTCCTCTGTTGCTCCGTTCTCCTGGCGCCCAGCCTGACTCCCTCTGTTTCCAGATGAGAGAACGGAGTTAGGTAGAAGCTCACAGGCCAGTCTGCAGCCACTCTGCCGGCTGTTTCCAGAGACAGCCAGGACCTCGATCTGTCTCCTGAGCCCTGGTCCTAGTGCTGAATCCCGTGTCTTCTTGGGCGTGGGCTGGACTTGGCCCTGCGCGCAGGGATGCCCCTGTAGAAGCTAGACCTCTCACGGCTACGACTGACTGAACAGCCTTGAGTGCACTGGTGAAGGAGAGATTGGTCTGCAGTTCTCCACATCTTTGGTGTAAGCATGATGCTCCCACCCACCTCTGTATCCCACCGGGGTGCCTATTGGTTATTGTCAACAATTAACTGATGACTGGGAAGGAGACACCTCCATATCCCTGGGGGACAGGATAGAAAAGGAGAGGGAGAGAGAGGGAAAGAGAGGAAAGGGGGGGGGGGAGAGAAGGGTGGAGATGCTGTAGACACACCGAGGGCTGTGATGGTCCTGGGGTGGACAAAGCATGAGGCCCATAAAAGACAGGCATATGTTCAAACATCTGAGAGCCGGTGGAGACATCAAGATGTGTTATCAGCTGAACTCTGTTCCCTAGAAATGCATATGTTGAAGCCCTAACCCCCAGCGTGGCTTATTTGGAGATGGGATCTTTGAGGGGATCATCAAGGCTAAAGGAGGCTATAGTGTGGGGCCCTAATCAGATAAGACTGGAATCCTCGGAGAGCAGGAGGAGATGCGGAACGGGAAACTGGGGGATGGTGGCCAACTACGGGACAACCTCTCTTCAGATCCCAGTCTGCTGGTGCCTTGATCTTGGACTCGTTGCCCCCAGAACTCTGAGAGAGTACGCTTCTGTTGTGCAAGCCAAACAGCTGGTGGTGCTTCGGTCAGACAGCTGGGCAGATGCGAGCAGGCAACTCGGGGAGGAGCAGGAGGTGGGTAAGGGGAGAGGTGGGTTGGGTGGCAGGAAGAGGACTGAAACCGGGAGTGGTGGGGCTTTTATTGATCGACTGACAGGATGATCGAGGGCTGGTGTGAGGCTCTCCTGGGCTCCTCCCAGCAAAGCTCAGCACTTGCCCACACTTACCCCGCGCGGGTAGCTGGAGTTTCTGGCTGCTTTTGCTGACATTGGAAGGCACTGTGCTTGCCTCACACCAGTAATGCGATGGGTCTTCATTCTCCACGATGGAGGGTACTGAGGTTCTCAGATAGCCCTTCCAGCCTGACCCCAAGCACCAGTCATCTCTGAAGAACTGGAACCAGAGTTGGACATCTGACTTCTGAGGGGGGAGCTGGGTCTCACAGGTCAGGATCACTGGTTCCCCGGGGGTGGGTGAGGGGGGGTCGGCCCTCAGTATGGGTCGTGGAAACAGCTCTGGAGAGAAGAACCACAACAGGCCCCAGAGCAGTGAGGCCTGGAGCAGCTCTGGAGAGAAGCACAGCTTGTCTGCGGCCGCCGAGAGCAGAGCGAGCAAAGAGGAGGCGACACGACCCCCGTGCTCTTCAGCGTAAAGCACACACTTGCACTCTCTCTGATTCTTGCGGGAAGGAGCCCTGAGGTTTGGTGACGCCCCAGCTCACCCTTCTCCTCCTCGACCACCTCAGGGACCTTCCTTCCCATGAGCCCTCCTCACAAATGACGAAGGCTTTACCTTGGACTTGGATTCTGACTGCGTTTGAAGAAAAAGAGCAACAATGGGTCTCAGATCCAGTACAGCGATATTCTCCATTATCCTTCAGACCTGCGTGCTTGATGTGGAAGCTGGGGTTTTTACCAAGGTCTATCAGCTCATTGTCATTCTTGTACAGGGTCCTGGTCTTCAGGGATAAATCTGGCTTTTCTCGGCACATCAGAGTCAGAGGGTCCCCTTCAAACACGGAAGGGGGAGCGTGCAGGATCAGCTTAGCTGCAAGAGACACAATGACGGCTGTTGGGTGCCGTCCACGGATTCTCCCTTCTCGTCGTTATTATTCCAAACAGATTTTATAGGATAGGGGATGGGGGAAAAGAAGCATAAAATAATTACAATTCCTTTCTTCCTGATTTTAAAATGAACACATATGCCCTGAGTCAACTTGGAAAGCAGAAACGTAAGTACAAATCTCTTCTCAGGTGTGCACTTTTCTGGTGCTCTTCTCCGCGTGCAAGTTCGGGAGAGTCCGTGTGTGCTGTGCTTTCTTCAGGACATCGGAATAGTGTGTGTATTTCTTAACTTGTTCTTTCACTCACCGTGCTGTGAACACTTAGCCGTCAATATCTTTACCGAACCTGACCTCTAATGGCCTTCAAGTTTTCCTTCAATGTGACATGATGTAATTTACTTAGGGAGTTGCCTTTCTTTACTATTTGAGTTCCTTCAGTTTGGGGGGTGCATATCTATGATTTCAGTAGGTAACTTCCGAGGAGGGGAATTGCCACTTCAAAGAGGACAAGCATCTTATTTGCTCCTTGTTACTACCATACTGCTTCCTTGTTTGCGAAAGAAACAGCATGATAACTGCTTCGAATTCCAGACAGGTGGCCTTAGGGCACAGGAAAAAAAGAGAGAGGTTTCTTCCTTGTCTCTTGATTTCTGTATACAGTCTACCCTTGCACAATGTGGGGGTGGGCACGGATCCTCCACGCAGCGGAAAATCAGAGTATAACTTTTGACTCCTCCAGAACCCAACTACTCATAGCCAGCTGTGCCAGAAACGTTAGTGATAACACGAATGGTCAACGGACATGTATTTTGTATGTTCTTTGTATTACAGACTATATTCTTATAACAAAGTAAACTAGAGGGAAATGTTAACTAAGAAAATCATAAGGAAGAGAAAATACATTTATAGCTCTGTCCTATAACAAAACAAAACAAAAACACCCCACCCCCCGCCAAAAACCTGCAGGTAAGTGGATCTGTGCAAGTCTCACCCATGTTGTTCATGGGTCAGCTGTACCTCTGTCTGCCTATCTATCTGAAAAATTCTCATGCTGCCTATTATTCCAAGTAAATTTTTTTTTAAAAAGATTTTATTTGTTTATCTGAGAGAGAGTGAGAGAGCATGAGTAGGGGAGCGGGGAAGCTGCAGAGGGAGAGGGAGAAGCAGACTCCCCGCTGAGCAAGGAGCCCAATGCAGGACTCCATCCCAGGACCCTGGAGTCATGACCTGAGCTGAAGTCAGATGCTTAACCAACTGGGCCACCCAGGCACTCTCCCAAGTAAATCTTATAAGCCTAAAATTACACATAGATTCAGAAACTATTCAAATAAATTTCTTCTCAAATTTCCTTTTACCTAAGTCACACACACCCCAAAGTTTACAGCAGCAATGTCCACAGTAGCTGAAATATGGAAAGAGCCCAGATGTCCATTGACAGATGAATGGATAACGAAGATGTGGTATTAGAATGGAATATTACTCAGCCACCAAAAAGAATGAAATCTTGCCATTTGCAATGATGTGGATGGAACTAGTGGCTATCATGCTAAACGAAATAAGTCAGTAAGAGAAAGACAAATGCCATATGATTTCACTTATATGTGGAAATTAAGGAACAGAACAGATGGACGTAGGGGAAGGGAAGAAAAAATAAAATAAGATGAAAGTAGAGAGGCAAACCATAAGCAACGCTGAAGTCTAGGAACAAATGGAGGGTCGCTGGAGGGAAGGAGTAACTGGGTGATGGGCATTAAGGAGGACACTTGATGCCATGAGCACTGGGTGTTATATGTGGCTGGTGAATCACGAAAACCTACCCTGAAGCCAATAATATTATACAAGCTAACTACATTGAATTTAAACAAAAATTTTAAAAAATTTTCTTTTTACCTGGGTCCTGTCTGTATAGATTTTGGTTCTGCATAACTATATGCTTCCCAAAGTTTTTATTTCACTTTTTTCTCACCTGGTGAAAAAGTCAAGCTCACACCATCACTTTGGGGCAAGCCCTGGATCTCGCATTTGTACTCTCCAGAATCCTGGACCTGGAGGGTGTTTGCTGGGATTTCACGTAGTATTTTTGTCCCAAGGTACCACCGGTACCATTTTTTGTCCCCTGCTATGTGGCAAGTCAGAGTCACTGCCTCTCCTTTGAAGATGACAGTCCATGGAGGTTGGAGAGAAATCACGGGTTTGGATACAGGTGCTGAGGAGAGAAGAGACAGATTCTGAGATAGAAACCCCTGTGGTCCCCAGTGCATTCATCTTTGTGGTACAGACCCAAAGACCAGGATTTGGAGAATACCCAAGGAAGCCATCTGGGAAGGTCAGTGATTGCTCAAGGTCATTTGTTCACTGGAGCCCCCAGGGGAGAATGGCTGCTCAGGGATGACAATGAGCAAAATTATTTCAAGAAGGCAACACCAGCAGGATTTACTGACAAATGCCAGTGGGAGAAATGGCTAGTTAGTCTGGTGTGGATCCTAGAGAAAGCCACCCCTGCCCCATTACTTCATCATGCTCACCAACTCATAAGAACCTCCCAAGGAATTGGGTAAATCACAGGTTTGTACTTTCCTGAAAGGATCAATCATATTTTCTGAAGATTTGGCGCTGAGTAAAGCTTGGGAGATTAACTTTTTGAACACCTTCATTTGATAGATGATTCAGATGCCCAGAAACTCTCACCATAACTAATTGTGTGAGAGCAAGGAATGGACAAGTCAGTCACTGGAATCCAGAGGTGGTCCAGACAAGGATGAAACCCCAGGTCAGCTGATTTTGGACAAGAGAGGATGTAGGTCTTCCTTGCTATTCATGGGCCACTCTCTGGCCCAAGACAACCAAAGTCAGAACTAAGAAAATGGGTGATACCGATATTATTTCTTCTCCCCCGATCTCTTCTTTTTTGCATTTCTTCCTTTAAGGGCCCGATTTTTGGGTTTTCTTCTGTTCTCCACACATTTCCTGGGGGATTTTACTTCTAAAACTATAGAGAATGTATTATTCACGCTGGTATCTTCACAGTGTGATGTTATCAGATAAGATTTTCTAGTTTGCTGATTGGAGAAACCCTACCCCAAGTCCTGCATGTTTACCATGGAGTTGAACATGTCCTGCCTGGTGAAGTGGGTTCCATTGGCAATAGGGGTACGTGCAGGGCCTACTGAAGGCCAGGAGCTGCTCGTGCATTTGTCAGTTCTTCCAGAGAGAGTCAGAGGGTAGCCACAGGGCTATCCTAGCCCTTGGATGATGCCAATAGACCTCAGAACACTTTCACATCCCTTCTGGCCTCAGCAAGTAAATGTCTCATCTTTATTAGGGAGACACTCTTATCCAGGGACACTGAAGAGCAAAATAAAGGAGAACTCACCAAATTGTCCACTGACAGGAGCTGAAAAAAAAAAAAAAAAGCCAGAGATGAACACAGACCAAAAATTTTGAAAAAGTAATGCCTGTTTCTTTTTCATTTTCAAAAGTAATCCCAGTTTCTTTTTCATTTTCAAAAGTAATTCCAGTTTCTTTTTCCTATCCATTTATTATTTCCTTCGTTAGAAATTCATTTTTTAAAAAATTAGACATTTGTCAAATGTCTCTCTATATACTAGTTATTGTGCTTAGACTTCTAAGGTGAGCAAAAAATGGTGCCTTCTGGTAAGCAGTTGACAGAAGGTGGAAGCAGAAACACGAAGCAAAATTATATAATTATAATATAGAATGTAAGTACAATGGAAGTACACACAGAGCAGCTTGTGGGCCGAAGGACCATCCCTGCCGGTGTGTGGGGTATGTGTGAGTGTGTGATTGGGGGGGTGGCCTATGACAGGTGCCTGACACTGTGATGCTTGAGAAAAATGAATGAACACATAGGAGTCAGCCAGGCAAAGATGTCAGTGCATGGCAAGAGGTGGTGGAGAGAGTAATAGAGGCAGAAAGGGCATGGAAGTGAAGAAATAGCACTGGTGTTCAGGGGTTAAGGTGGAGTTTTGGAAGGTAGGGATTGAGGGGGAATCAAGTGAGAGAGGCATGCATGGCTCATGTCATGGGGGTAAGTAGCTAGGGCTTTATTATGAAAGCTGCAGTTTTATTATTATAACCAAGAGGCATGGAAAGTCTTTAAGTAGAGTGTGACAAAGTTAGAATTTGAAACTTAGATGGAACATTGTGACAGTGGGTAGACGTCAGTGAGAACAGATGTGAAGCAGAGAGACTGATTAGAAGGCAGGAGAAGAGATAATAATGTTTAATTTTCTTCAGAGTGTTTATCCAAAAATTTTTCTTTTGTTTACTTTACTTTCCCTTCTCTAGAAAAGAAGTTCTGTGAGAGGAGGAACTTTTTATATTCATCATATGCCCCCACCGACCTATAGCAGTGCCTGGCATATAAGAGATATTCCATAAATATTTATAGAATATTTATTTATTGAGTAAAAATTAATTAACTAGGTCAGTAAATAGAGATAGGAGGATACGGTCTTGAGAAATGGGTAATAGACAGAGGAGGAAAAATTGGCAAGTTTATAAATCGCTTAGACATTTCAGATGAGGGACAGATTTGGTTTACTCAACACAAATTTTTGCAATGTCAACTATATGCCAGGGACTGGATAGGGCAAATGGAATCCATCAGTAGGCAAGGGAGATATTATCCCTCTCCATATGAGGGTGATGGAGAAGTAATCCAAACCTAAGTGTTTTTATAGAGAACAATGGATTATTTGTCATTACCCAAATATCTTGGCCACCGTGGAATTTGTGTTGTTTTTAATGTAGCTAGAACTTTTCTGAGTGTTTCCTATGTGGTAGACTTCCACATATATTATTTCATGTTATCTTGTCAATATCCTTATCAAGTAAGTTCTATGATTATCCCCATTTATAGGCCATAAACTGGTCTAAGCACCTAGTAGGTAGCAGAATGAAGTTTTGAACCTCTTGTTTGAACACATCTTGTTTTGTCCCAAAGCATGTGCTTCTGGAAGATCCTGTCTTTTTGTGTTGGTACTACACTGGGATGTGCTTCCTATTTCTGGAGTGTTTCATGCAGCTTTCATGGGGTCTTTTTTCTTATGTTGTGTCCTGCTCCATCCCTGCCCCCTCCAGCTCCTACTCTCCCTCTGTCTCATGAAGTCATTACCAACTACTTGGCATATAGTTTATTATTTGTTTGCACCATCACTGGTAAATTTGGACAATCATTTAACTGGGATCTTGTTAGGTGAATGTTTCTTGTACACTGGACTGGCTGGATGGCCTTTTATATCATAAGCTTTCTAAGCACAGAAATGCTACCTCCCATGCTTTCCCATCATTCTCAGCACCTAGTGCAGTGCTGTACTTAAACATTACTAAAATTTTTTTAAATAAATGAATAAATATATTTTATTCTAATAATTTCAACTTTGGTAAAAACACACTCATTTATATGTGTGAATTGATAGAAACTGAACCACACCCACAGGTGCAATTAGAATGTCAAGTACCAGAAATGCAGGAGCAAGATGATGGAATAGGAGGTCTACAGCCTGTGTCTCCCACAGACACCCATATTTTGGAGCCATCCACAGAAAAAAGTGAGGTGCTTTAAGAGCTAGATAGGAGATTGCAAAATCCCACTGGAGCCCGAGACCAAGGAGGATCAGTTTGAGAAGGCAGGTGCATGCCCTGGGTGAAGCCTCACTGACTATGAACCCACCTGCATACCTAGAGCGACTTCATCTTTTTGTGGACTCAACTCCAGTCCAGTTTGTCCATGGTCTTGCCTCTAGATCCTATTTCTAAGGGACCCAAGAGGAACCATCTTCATCCAGGCCCCAGTAGCAGGCCCACTGATCTCACACTTGACTGTTATTGCTGAGGCAGTCCTGTGACCCAGCTCCAGTCCCACTTTACTGCAGTCTAGAGGTAGTCTTGGTCATCCAGCTAAGAACCCACTGGGAGAATACTCAGGAACCCAGCAGAAATCACACCCATTCATTCCCCTGGTAAGAGGTTTGACAACTGTGGGCCCAACTGCAGGCCCAGCAATGGCCATGAGACCCAGCTCCAGCCCTGTTCAACCATGATCCTGGAGGCAGTCCCGTAAGTCCAGGGAAGCAGCAGATGGAATTTACCTGCCAAAACCATACTGAAAAGTTATCTGTTCTTCTAAATAAACAGACGCCGCCAGTGCAAAGTTACACAGATAATGAAGGGTCAGGCAAATATGACAACATCAATGGAAATTAATGAAGCTCGAGCAACTGACCCTAGAGAAAAGGAGATCCATGAACTGCTTGACAAAGAGTTAAAAATAATAGTCTTGAGCTCAGTGAGCTATAAGTGGACACAATGAAATGAAATCAGGAAAGTAATACATAAACAAAACCTGAAGTTTAACAAAGAAATAGAAAACAAAAAGACTCAAGCAGAAATATTGGCACTAAAGAATAAAATAACCAAACTGAAAAACTCAATAGAGACCTTCAACAGCATAACTGATCATTCAGGAGAAAGGATAAGCAAACTTAAAGACGGCATTTGAAGTTATCTGGTTAGAAGAACCTAAAGAAAAGAAAGAAAGTGAAAGTGAAAAATGCTCGAGTGACTTATGGAATAACAAAAAGTGAATCTATATACATATTATTGAAGTCCCAGAAGGAGCAGACAACAAAGGCAGAAAGATTATTTAAAGAAATAATGACAGACAACTTCCTGAATCTGGGGAGACAAATGGGTATCGAGATTCATGATCCCTAAAGAACCCCCAATAGACTGAACATCAAAAGTTTAAGCCAAGACACATCATATTCAAATTCTCAAAAGTCAAAGACACAGAGAGTTTTGAAATCAGTAAGAGAAAAATGACTCATTATGGAATCTCATACAAAGAAACCCCCATAAGATTTATCGTGGATTTCTTTAGCAATATTGTAGGCCAGGGAAGAGTTGGATGATATATTCAAAACTTTGAAAGAAAAGAAAAAACCCTATCAATCAAAATACTATGCCTAACAAACCTGTCCTTCAAAAATGAAGGAGAGATAAAGACTTTCCAAGACAAACAAAAGCTGGGGAATTAACCATCACTAGACCCACCTTACAAGAAAAGCAAAAAGGAGTTCTTCAAGAACACTAAAGAAAGGACACTAATTAGGGACATAAAAACACACAGAAGTATAAAACTCCCTGGTGAAGGTAAATACATTGTCAAATTCAGAATACTCTAAATACAGTATCTTAGTCCATTCAGTTTGCTATGATAAAAATACCAGAGCGAGTGGCTATGAACAACAGAAATTTATTTCTCACAGTTCTGGAGGCTGGAAAGTCCAATATCAATGCATCAGCAGATTCCTTTCTGGGGAGGGCACACATCGTCATAGATGGCCATCTTCTCATGTAACAGGGCAGAAGGGTGAGAGAGCTCTCGCTGGGCTCTTCTACAGGGATACTAAGGATACTAATCCCATTGATGATGGCTTTCTACAAGCCTCATGGTAATCACAAAGAAAAAAAAACTATAATAGATACACAACAGATAAAAAGAGAGTAATCAAAGCATGCCACTACAAAAAAAAAAAAAATAAATCACAAAGGAAGACAACAGGAGAGGAAGAAAGAAAAAAAAAAAAGGAACTGCAAAATAGCCAGAAAACAATTTAAAAAAATGACAATCGTAGTCCTTACCTATAAATAAATACTTTTAATTTAAAAAGATTAAATTTTCAAATAAAAAACATAGGTCAGCTGAATGAATAAACAATACAACTATATGCCACTTACAAGAGTTTCATTTTAGATTTAAGGGCACACATAGGCTCAAAGTAAAAGGATGGAAAATATATCCCATGGGTATGGTAACCAAAAGACAGCAAGAATGACTCTACTTTTACCGGACAAAATAAATCTTAATTCAAAAATTGTAACAAGAAACGAAGTTACTATACAATGATAAGGTGGGTAATTCATCAAGAGGATATACAATATATGTGCACCCTTTATGAAAGCACCTAAATATATAAAACAAATAGCAGAACTGAAATAAGAAATAGGTAACAATACAATAATAGTAGGGGACTTTCAACAGTGGGCACATTATTCCGACAGAAAATCAATAAAGGAAATGTCAGGCTTGTACAACACTGTAGACCAAAGGGTGTAGGTATCTAATATGTAAAACTAATGGCCATATATAGAACATGATATCCGACAGCACCAGAACACACATTCTTCTCAAGTGAACACAAAACATTCTCCAGCATAGACTATATATTAGGTCACAAAACAAGTCTCAAATATAAGAAGATTGAGTTTTCTGACCGTAATGGTGTGAAACTAGAAATCATTAATGGATGAAA